GAGTATTCCCCTTTCTCCACATCCTCACCAGTATTTTCTAGCATTTGTTCTCTTGATCTTAGCCAGTCTGATTGGAGTAAGGTGATAACTTAGGGTGGCTTTAATTTGCATTTCCCTAAATACTAATGATGTTGAAATATTTTTAAGGTATTTCTTAGCCATCTTTATTTCTTCCTTTGAGAATTGTCTGTTTAAATCTTTAGCACATCTTTTAATTGGGTTATTTGCTTTCTTGCTTTTTTTGTTTTTTGAGTTCTTTATACATTCTGGATATTAAACCTCTATTAGATGTGTCACTGGTGAATATATTTTCCTACTCTGTGAGTTTTCTCTTCACTTTTTTGTTTCTTTTTGCTGTGCAGAAGCTTTTTAATTTAATGGGGCCCCACTTGTTTATTGTTGAATTTAATTTCTGAGCAACTTCTGTTGGATTTAGAAAAACCTTTCCTATACCTATATCTTGTAGGTTACTGCTAATATTTTCTTCTAATAGTTTCAGGGTTTCCAGTTTCACATTGAGGTCTTTGATCCATTTGGAGTTGACTTTTATGCAAGGTGAAAGATAAGGATCTAGTTTCATTCTTCTACAGGTAGAGATTCAGCTTTGCCAGCACCATTTGTTGAAGATGCTGTCTTTCCTCCATTGTGTGTTCTTGGCACCTTTGTCAAATATCAAGTGGCTGAAATTGCTCAGATTTGGGTCTTCAATGTTGTTCCATTGATCTGTCTGCCTATTTTTGTGTCAGTACTATGCTGTTTTTATGACTATAGCTCTGTAGTATATTTTCAGATCTGGTATAACAATCCCCCCAGCATTGCTGTTTGGGCTCAGGGTTGCTTTGGTAATCAGTGGTCTTTTGTGCTTCCATAAGAATTTAAGTGTGTTTTTTTTCTAATTCTGTGAAGCATGTCATGGGGATTTTGATTGGGATTGCATTGAATCTATATTTTGCTTTTGGTAGGATGGTCATTTTCACAATATTAATTCTTCTAATTCATGAGCATAGGAGGTCCTTCCATCTCCTGGTGTCTTCCTCAATCTCTTTCTTTAAAGTTTTACAGCTTTCATTGTAGAGATCTTTGATGTCTTTGGTCAGCTTTATCCCAAGATATTTTATTTATTTATTTTTTTGCAGCTATTGTGAATGGGAGCATTTCCCTTTACTCTTTCTCCAATTGATTGTTATTGGTATATAGAAAGGCTAATGATTTTTGTAGATTAATATTATAACCTCCACTTTACTGAAAGTGTTGATCAGTTCTAGGAGTGTTCTGTTGGAACTTTTGGGGATCTCTTAGGTGGTGTTATATCTTCTGCAAAAATGGATAATTTGGTGTCTTCTTTTCCGATTAGTACTCTTCTCTTGTCTTATTGCTCTAACGAGATTCAAGCACTATATTGAAAAGGAGTGGAGATAGTGGACATCCTTGTCTGGTTCCCAATTTTAATGGGAATGCTTCTGATTTTTTTTTCCATTTAGAATGATGTTGGCTGTGGTTTTGTTGTATATAGCTTTAATTATGTTGAGGTATGTTCCCTCCAGTCCAGTTTCCTTTAGAACTTTTATCATGAATCCATGCTGAATTTTGTCAAAAGCTTTTCTGCATCTATTGAGATGGTGATGAAGTTTTTGTCTTTGAGTCCATTTATATGATTGATGATGTTTATTGACTTGCGTATATTGAAACATCCCTGCATGTCTGGAATAAAGCCTACTTGACCATGATCTTTTTGATGTACATCTGTATGCAGTTTGCAAGTGTTTTGTTGGGAATTTTTGCATCTGTGTTCATTAAGCATATGGATCCGTAGTTTTCTTTTTTGGTTATGTCTTTACCTGGTTTTGATATTAGACTGATGCTGGCTTCCTACAAGGAATTTTGGAGTTCTCCCTCTGCTTCTAACATTTTAAATAATTTAAGTAGTATTGGTTGGAAGTCTTCTTTAAATGTCTGATAGAATTCTGCTGTAAATCCATCCAGGCCTGGGCTTTTTTTTCAGTCGGGAGGCTTTGTATTACTGTTTCAATTTCTTTATATGTTATGGGTCTATTTGAACTGTTGATCTCTTCTTGGTTTAACTTTGGTGGCTCCAATGATTTTAGATATTCATCCATTTCTTTTAGATTTTCAAATTTAATAGAGTAAAAGTTTTTAAAGTATTTCCTTATAGTGTTTTGGATCTTTTGGGTGTCTGTTGTAATGTTCCCCCTTTCATCTGTGATTTTGTTGATTTGGATTTTCTCTTTCTTTCTTTTGGTTAACTGGGCTAAGGGTCTATCTATCTTGTTTAGTTTTTCAAAGAACCAGCTCTTATATTCATTGATCC